TTGTCTAAATACTCTTTTGCACGTATTAGATAATTTCAAAAACCAAATCTAACTTAACCTAAGAAGTTAAAAAGTGCAGCCTTGCCTTGTAAAGATGTCACAATAAATAAACGCTTGTTATTTGTACATTTTTAAAAATAAGTAACAATATAAATTGTTTTTTAATTCAAAAATTTTTCTATAGTTTTTCAAGGGTGCGAATACTTTCGTCATGAGTAGTTTTAAGAGAGAGTTTAAAGAAAAGAAAAATATATTTTATACACGCGATAACAAACTGTTAATTTATTTATGTTTTTAAATACATTTAAAATTGTGCTACACAAAAATCTTAAATGTAAAAACTTGTTTAATAAATAGTAATTGCCGTATATGATGTGTTAACATGCAGATTTAATTTTAACTATGCACAGTGCTTATATATGTTTTGGCAAATGTTAATCACAATGGTCGATCCAATTATCGTTTTACATGATATATTACTATTTCGCAAATAAGAAAAACAACATGGAATGTCATAGACAGAAAACAGACAGTAAAAAATATACTGAATATCTTCCATTTTCAATTTTTCTTGATTTTCATGATTAGGAGAGTAAAATTCGAAATCTTTTCTTACTTCTTCCAGAATGTCATTCATTAATTTTTCTATTAAACCTCCCTCTCGTAACATTCATTCATTCATTTTATTAGTTACATTTCCTGATTTTACTGAGCACTATCAGGATTTAAAAACACTAAGTACTTATGACAATGAATACAGCATATTGTCGCGGGAACAAACGGCAATCAGTCGTTAGAAACACAAAGGGATTTATTAACTCAGACAATGTACAACTCCTGCAGCTTGCAGTAGGAGAACAAGAAGCCCTCTCAGCCTGAGAGCTGGCTGTTATATCCTACAGAGACATGGTAGAAACATGGTAATTGGTTGGTATTTACATAAGTTCTCAGAACGGGAGAACGTAACCACACAAAAAAAAACTTGCATCAATGAGGGTTGAACCAGCGACCTCTGCTCGATAGGCCAAGCCGCTAACCTCTACCCCATGAATGACACAGCGGGAAGAGCAAGCCGCGGCAATATCATTACTAGATAGCCAGTTAATTAAAAATAATAAATAAAATTAAAAAACTACCACAAATTGAACTTTCGGCTATTGGCGCTGTTTGCCGTAGCGGCATAATTTAGAATAAAAATAAATATCACGTACCTTATAAAAAACCTTTAACCGATGCGAAGTAAAAAATTTAATAGTACAAACGTTTTCAGACCCCTCCCGGGTCCATCTTCAGGTAAAAATCGTTTGAAGATTTACGAAGTACGAAAAATATTCGTTTAGAACGATTTTTAAAACCGAAAAGATAGAACGGAATCACGTGATCTATATCTGTGAACGTCATATCTTCTATGTCATATTCACAGATATTTAAATATTTTCCATCGTTTTTAAAGATTTTATGAATAACTTTGTTGTTAAGCTCACAAAACATATCACTTAAATTTTTAGATAACCCATTTACTTCCTTTCCTTTAGGATTACGACGTACTTAAATTTCCTGTTGTAATAGGGGCCTGCCATGCCAAAGAAAGAGAGATCTCATCTCTGGAATTGATCGGTGATGTAGTGTTGTATGCCTTGCATAATTCTATCTGCTCCAACCATTTGAGATGGTCTAAATATGAGGTGGTGGTGATTAATTTAGCATTTGAAAAGTCCGCAGTTATTTCTGGATCAGACGCGTAAGTTGATAAGGAAGTGGTACATTTATTTTGCTGGATGTCACGCATATGTTCTTTCAATCTGATCCCAACAGCTCGTTTTGTTGAGNAATGGTCGATCCAATTATCGTTTTACATGATATATTACTATTTCGCAAATAAGAAAAACAACATGGAATGTCATAGACAGAAAACAGACAGTAAAAAATATACTGAATATCTTCCATTTTCAATTTTTCTTGATTTTCATGATTAGGAGAGTAAAATTCGAAATCTTTTCTTACTTCTTCCAGAATGTCATTCATTAATTTTTCTATTAAACCTCCCTCTCGTAACATTCATTCATTCATTTTATTAGTTACATTTCCTGATTTTACTGAGCACTATCAGGATTTAAAAACACTAAGTACTTATGACAATGAATACAGCATATTGTCGCGGGAACAAACGGCAATCAGTCGTTAGAAACACAAAGGGATTTATTAACTCAGACAATGTACAACTCCTGCAGCTTGCAGTAGGAGAACAAGAAGCCCTCTCAGCCTGAGAGCTGGCTGTTATATCCTACAGAGACATGGTAGAAACATGGTAATTGGTTGGTATTTACATAAGTTCTCAGAACGGGAGAACGTAACCACACAAAAAAAAACTTGCATCAATGAGGGTTGAACCAGCGACCTCTGCTCGATAGGCCAAGCCGCTAACCTCTACCCCATGAATGACACAGCGGGAAGAGCAAGCCGCGGCAATATCATTACTAGATAGCCAGTTAATTAAAAATAATAAATAACAGCAAATAAATAAATAATAAAATAATTATTAAAACAGTGGTTTTTACACTGAAACTAAGATTAAAAATATAATCAAAATTAATTAATTAAAATTTAAAGTAATTGACACACAATATTTTGGAAAGTATGGATAAAGTACTTGTCTGTCTTGATTGATTTGGTTATATTTTATCTGGGCAGAGATGAGTCTCTAATAATATTGACAGCACTTTTTTTAAAGTGATGGTTTCAGATGGCAGTGATGGAACATTTTGCTTTTAATATATATATATATAAATAGTAGATTTATATATAATATAGTATCTGTTGTTATATGGCATTTGTGGACATTTTTATACATAAAATACAGCTAAAAAGGTAAAAAAAGCTTTTGAGGGTTAGGAATAAATTAATGCATTTTATATTGTTTCTTATAGGAAAATTTGTTTTGGTTTGAGAACAAATCAGTTTTCAAACAAACTTTCAGGAACAAATTGAAACCCAAGGTTTGACTACTATTATTACAATTAACTTCCTAATGTTAAAACTGATTGTTACTGTGGTCTATGCACTGCAACCAAATTGCAAAACTTTTGGAAAATTATTTTCTTTTCTTATTACTTATCTCAACAATTACTACAAATCCAATACACAACACTTTATAGTGACTTCAATCCCTCTCACATTGAATGACATCGTTTACCTACTTTCTCTACTTCAGATGCTGCCAAAAGATTCTTTCCTAACAAATTGTTTTATTTTCTTAAATTAACACAATTTATTACTTTCCCCATGTACATTGTTTTTTTTAGATTTAATCTTTTCTTTCACTGCAACTGTCAGTTGTTCAGTTATGAGAGAAGTCCCATCTAATCATAGAGACAATCTGTATTAACATTAGTTTTCATTGGTTTCCTCTGATCACTTCATTTCTATTCAAAAATCATGCATTCTCAATTGGAAACATGATAATTGGAAGATGGCTTGCTCTTAACTGACTAATATTGACTGGACATTTTTAATCAAAAATTTTTATACAGAAGAAAAATATGTTGCTATTAATGATAATTTTGCTTTGACCATTAACTTTCATTCCCATAATATAAAATATCTTCATTTTAAGCCTCAGTTTGACAAAATCCTTAAGCAAGTTTGAAACTTATTAAGACAATATTGGAAGCAGTCTGGCAATCCTCATGATTTATATCTTCACCACTATTCGAAAACAGTTTTATAAAACTTGTATGCAGAAATTTGATCTCTATTTTAACATAATTATTCAATGTATGTCTTAAGATCTGCACATTTTGGCAATTTACGCCTAAATTTATCAATAAAATGATGCATTCCACCTTTTCTTTTGTATTTGTGTTTCTATGTATGATGATTTTAAAAAATGCTTGCACAATTAGAACCATGTCTATGCGAGGTCGTTGACCCGGTGGAAATTGGGGACTTAAAATCCCACTTCTGGGACACCAGTGCGAGGTTTGCCGATTGGGGAAAAAGTGTCGCGACAGTCGAGCGGTCAGCACTGTCGTGTGGGAGTGGAAAAACTTACTGAGACAGGTCTTCCATCGCAAACTATTTATTAAATATAAAAATTTCGCTTACAACTACTGTTTTCTTTGGCGTAAGGCCTATCCACAGAGTGAATCAGTTCGTAAATAAAGTTCAATCTTACGATCTTCTCTTCTTTTGGCGAAGATGATGAGGAAAACGTAGGCTCCGGGGTGCACAGCACAACTTGAAGGGGTGATTCTCACAGTAGATTATCCTTGGCGAAAGTTGCTGGGACAGGATGGCGAAAACTTCTTTCGGGACGACGAACCGCAGGAAAAATCCAGAAGCGGAGCACACCGAACTTAGTAACCAAGAACGTCACATCCT